TTTTAATAATTTTTTTCTTTTTTATTGTGGGTGCTTGACAAGGCCTGGCAAGTTTGGCTAACCTGGCAAGTTTGGCTAGCCTGGTGAGCCTGGCCAACCTGGTGAGCCTAGCCAGCCTGGCCAACCTGGCCAGCCAGCCAGAAGCTTTAAAGTCTGTCAGGCTGACTGACTTAAGCCCTACCTGATGACCTGGCCAGGCCTGACACTGCCTGATATGCCACTTTCAATTCTTGTGACACACAGAAGATGCCACAGTGCTTAAAGTGGAGCCATGACAAGGCTGCCATATTTAATTTCTCTATATAATTAAAGCCAAAAATTGCACGGCGTTATAACAGCCACAGGTGGTGCTACGGCTTTTTGTGCAAAGTCTCTAAAATTGTTCAAGATAATGTACATCATATGTATACTTGAATCACGGTGCATCAGGAAACCTGACCATGGCGCCTATTTTTTCATAGCAGCCGTCCATGGTATCATAGCTGTCAAAAAGGTATGGGAGCTAGCAGCGCTATGGTTGCTATAATCGCTATAATAGCAACTATAGCATTTGCCAACTTTACTGATGTGAATGTTGGTGAAGCATATGCGCCGTCTTCATATGTAAATAGACATACTGAACAGTATTTTCATTCCGTCTGCAAAGTTATTAAAATGTATCTGAGCTTGTTCACGAGGAAATGCCTCAAACAACGTCCCTAGCGAGGATAATATTTTTTCATGGATTGCCTAATGAGCACCTTCTCCGAGTCTGCGTAAATAAATTGGATGTTATAATCGGGTTCGTTGCCAGCGATTTCAAACAAGCCCAACAAATATATGGCCTACCTTGTAATTATTTGCTGTGCAAATGAAACGACATCAGCGATGGTCATGGATCCCGGGCCCGTGAAATCGCTGGAGCGAAAGCGATATTCGACACTCTTGTCTGTCATCGAATTCCGCAGGCAAAAATAAAGCCGGTCATATATTCAAGGGTACGAGCAAAACCATAAATTCCAAGCCAAGAGACACTATTTTTTTGGCAGCGAGTTGGAATAAAGTAGTTCTTCGTGAAAGAGGTATGAAGACAGACTCGAGGTGGTAGTCGGAATCAGAAATAAGGAAGAATGTGCTTTGATGTGGTCTGCTTTTCACCGGCAGAACAAATAATAACTTCGTCGACTCAGACTTACTAGTATAAGAAAGAACCAGCCGAGGATGATGTCGACTTAAGAAATCTACGGCACCTTTTCGGGCCATTCACTCTACTGTTGTATAGCTATCATAGAGACCTCAGTCCATCAACACAATCATATAAAAATACTTACAAAATTTCGCTATTCTCTTCGGGTTTCAGATGCATCCTTCTCGGAATTCTTCAAATCAAAATATCCCAGCTAATTTATAAGCCTTGCTATGCGTCTCAAATAATATTCTCATTGGGCGGTGCCGCAGTGTCGCGACGTGTACAATAGTGCAGATATTTTCCAGAGATATGGTAATGTGACGCCTAATTGAGGTGAAAAGTGGTGATGTCGCGGAATTA